AAATTTATTAGAAGTTGCTTAATTTCGGATACTTAGTAATGTTAGGGGTTGCTTATTTTCGGGGGTTGCTTATTTTCGGAAGAATACGGTATTATTCTTTTTGAACAATTTATTATCTTAATTAAAATGATATAATATCATTCTTCTTAAATGATTTATTATTATTTAATTAGAATATATTATTATTTTTCTTAAATAATTTATTATTATTCAATTAGAATAATTGAAAATTTGTTTCTTATAATAAAAAGAACTTTTTAAATTTCTTTTAGAGTTAGATCTGAATCAGATCAGATTTAGATTTTAATTGATCTGTTAAATTCAGATTTAAAATTCAATTTATCAAATTTGAATCAGTTTTAAATTTAAATTAATCTATCAGATTTAGATTTAGATCAGATTCATAAAAATAAAAATTAGATTGGATTAGATTTAAATAAAATCTGATGTGATCTGATTTTGCAAAACACTAATATTAATATAAAAAATATAAATACAAACTTAAATCAAGCTAAACAACTAAGAATACAAAAGTTATAAAAAATAATTAAGAATATTTAAAAAGATAAAAAAATATTATAGTTAGATTATATTAATATATTATATTTAAATTATACTAAATAACTAGGTTATATTAATATAAAAAATTAATAACAAGAAAATAGTTAAATAATATCTTAGAATAACAAAAAATAACTATAATTAAATTATATTCTGCAACTATAAATTATAAATTTAGTTATAAAATCACAGTTAAATTATGTAAGTTAGATTATATTATACATTTAAATTATATTTTTATACTCAGATCATATAGAACCTTGTAATAAAAGAAGAAAACTGCTGAAAAAATAAAAATAAGTTAAAGTTAAATCTAAATATATCTTAGTTTAAAATCATATTTGATATATAAAAATAAAATTAATTTTTTTTTTTGCAATTTTTCTTTTTTTACATAATATAATTATATTATATATTTGAATCAGTTAAATTTATAAAATAATTAAAATAAAAAAATCATGATTTTGTTTAGTTAAAGTAAATCATTATAATTATAAAATTTATAAAACTTAATTAATTATTATAAATTTAATATTTTTTTATAAATTTTATTTTAAACATTTAAAATTAATAATTAATTAAATTATAATTACTTTAATTAAGTTTTTTAAATTAAAAAAAAATTAAATATTAATAATAATAATATTTATAATTTATTATTTATTTTTCTAATATATATATTTTTTACTTATAAAAAGTAATTTAATTATTTTAATAGACTACTCTAAAGATTTTTTATTTTTAATATTACTTTTTTTTGTTAATTTATAAATTTAATTTTTTAATCCTTAGTATTGTAGTTTATAACTTTTTAGTATAAGAAATATAAAAGAATGTGATATAAGATAATAAATAATTACCTTTTTTTCTTAATAATATTGGATAAACATGATTATCATATGGCACGTTATAGGAGAAAATTACTAAATAAAAATATAATTTACGTTAGATGATGCTAAATGAATTTTTAAAGCAAACATTTAGACAAAAAAAAAAATTTTTTTTTTTTTTGTGGTTTTCACAGTAAAGCCTGTAAAGCGCCATATTTTATATATATAAAAAGCTTGTAATAACAAATTATAATTCTTTTTAATATAAAGAATAAAATTTTCGATCACTGAAATTAACTAGAATTGTTTAATATTTTAATGTTAATTCGAACTAACATAATACAATTTATTACATTATTATTATATTAGATTTACTAATTTAAAATATAAAACCGAGTAAAATAATAATTTGAAAAACACGCGCATAATATGCAGCGCAAAATAATTTTTCACCAATAGAATTTCGGTAAAATTACGTAATTTTGTTTTTTTTTTCGTAACCTGGAACGGTGATAATTTGATTAATAATAGCCATATATCGATCGCTATTTCACCAATCAAAATCTTTCGACTCCGGTAAAACTATACGGTTAAATGTTTAAATAGCTTTTTTTTTATTTTTTTTGAACTAGAATTTAAAAAAAATTTTTTTTTTTTTTGAAATAATTTAATAATTAATCAAATGGAAGAAATATCGCATGAAAAGAATGTGGTTCCAGGTTCTTACGTTATCCTGGAAAACGTATTTGGACTCATGGGAACAGTAATATGGTCATTTCAATTAGTTCCGCAAGGTAAGGATTTATTTCGATCTGTTATGTTGAACGTTAAAACGCATTTTCTTTGATTAATCACATGATGCAGTTTATAAAAATTGGCGAAGAAAATCCACGAGAGGTAAGACTGATTTTCTGATCACATTTTATACCCATGCCAATTTGATCCTTACATAATATTTTCAGGACTTTCTCAAATGATGATTCTTCTATGGGTAAAAAAAAATATTTTGATATACAGCTTTTCACGTGAACATCAACGTTAAAAACCTCTCGTTTATTTTTAGACGATATCCAATGTGTTTTATGGAACATACGCGATAGTCTTAAATTTGTCGATTCCCTTAATAATCCAGCCACAACTCTTTGGAATTATTTGTTTGTTTGTTGATATGCAATTTTTATATTACGATTCACCAAAACTTAAAGGAAATAAAGTAAAAAATGTAACATTATTCATATTGTCGGCGCTGCTCTTTGCCGGATGTGAAGTTGGTTCCGTTTACGGAATTAGAGTAAGAGGATTTTCAATTGCTTGATTGATTTTTATCTTTGTATGACAAGAAATTTGATAGGTTTATCATTTTAGGAAGCGAATGCGACAAAGATCAGGTGGCCTGAAAAGGTTTTCGGAATCGTATCGCCAGTTTTATTGATTTCCGGATTTGTGCCGCAGTACATCCAAATATATAGTAAGTTTAAAAATCTTTGATTAAATTCTTAAATATCACATCTAAAAATTGGGTTTAAATTGTTTTACATAGAGGAGAAGCATGTAATTGGGATTTCAATGATATTTATGGCATTAGATATGGCAGGAGCCTTGTTTTCTGTTCTTAGTTTAGGTATGTTTTTGATTGTCATATCTCATTATTTAATTTCCTATTACTAATTACGAAAATCTTTTTAGTTTTCCGACCACCCCCATTTGATACAATAGCATCATTAACTTACATATCGGTATTTGTATTAGATGGTTTAATTGTGCTATTGTATTACTTTTTAAACTGGTTTCATGCAAGGAAAAATCATAATGATGAAGAATTTATGGTATATAATTAGTAACATAAATGTGTAAAAGGGCGCCAATAATTTAAAAAGTAGATGTGAATAAATTACCAATAACAAATTAGCCCAAAATACTTTTTAAATAGAAATTTTAAACAGGTTGAATTGGGCGTTTTTTTTTTTTTTTATTGATTGTTACGTGTAACTTTTCTGTTCGACCAATTTAAATAATTTGTTATTTTCTGAGTCAGAGTAATAAAAAAAATCACTCTTCCTTTTTTATTATGTCGTCAAGTAAAAGACCAATGCCAACGCAAGCGTTTGTTTCCACAAATACATCATCTTTAAATCCAACCATAAAAGAGCAACAATATGTACATGACGTTTATGAAAAAATAGCTCAACATTTTAGTAGCACTAGATATAAGCCATGGCCTGTTGTAGAAGAATTCTTAAAGGAGATGGAAATTGGAAGTATCGGGGTTGATATTGGATGCGGTAATGGAAAATATTTAGGGGTTAATCGGAATGTTTATATAATCGGCGCTGATAGAAGTTCAAGTTTAATCGAGATAAGCGCATCAAGGGGATTTGAAACTCTCATTTGTGATGCATTGAATTTACCATATAGAGACGAATGTTTTGTATCCATTTTCGTTGTAAAAAAATTAAAAATAAAATAAAAAAATTATTAGTCCATTAACTCGTTAAAAAAAAATGACTCAAAGGATTTCGTAATCTCGATTGCCGTCATTCATCATTTCACAACTTTAGAAAGGAGGATTGCAGCGACAAAGGTTAACCCTTTATTTTATTTTAAGTACAATACAAAAAAAAAAAATCGTAATAAATAATAAATTATTTATTATTATTGATAGGAATTATTTCGAATTGTAAAACCGGGATCAAAAATCTTGATCTATGTTTGGGCTATGGAACAAATAGAATCACGTAGAAAATTTGATGAAAATTATCAGGATGTCTTTGTTCCTTGGGTCATTCCGGCCGATAAGAATGAAAAAGAAGAAGAAATCGTGTATGATAGGTATTATCATTTGTTTAAAAAAGGTGAACTGGATGAAATTGTCGCAAATATAGGTTTGGCACAAATAATTAAATCGGATTATAATAAGGATAATTGGTATGTGATAGCGACGAAAAGGCAATAAACTTCTTAAACGGTATCGGATTCATTTTTTAATACTATACTAGGATCCATTTTGACCTTTCTCATATACCCGTCATACCAATCTTGAAACACTTTTGCTGATATATATGAATTTCCTATCCCAATCTTTTGTGCTCCAAAAGGAATCGTTGAAGCACAAAACGACGTAACATAGTTATAAAAATTTTTAAGGATATTAATAGAAATCTGACTAATATTTTCTGAACTTGTCGCATTGATTTGTGGTGATAAATTTGTAATTTGCGCTTCAATCACGGAGATTGGTTCAATTGAAATTCCCAACGTGGCTGTTATCGAAGATACGTTAGAATCGGATGAAAATGCTCCAATTTCACCACCCGTGATCAATCTGGTCCCAAATGTCGGATTTTGTCCATTTGACGGAATGATCGCTCCGCGAAGACGAAAAATCGCACTTGGCTTTTCATTTGAAAGCCTGAGAAAATAATATAATCAATCAAAATTTATTAATTAATCAATCAATTGAATTATTTTTCTCGCTCGAACCATTCGAACCTATGATTTTTTTTTATTTTTTTCTCGCAAGGTGTTTTGAAATAACTTGAATAAACTTACATGCCCAACAATTTCCAACCGCTTTCACTTCCTGGCCACAAGAAATGAACGGTCGCAGCATAACCTGGATCAAATGGAATCGTTCCAAGTAGGAATACTACGATATGATTCACGGTAGCCGCATCGGGAAGTTCAAAAACGTATTTGTTTACATCAACTTGTTGAAGATTGGTTTGGATCTATTGAAAATTGTCAAGATTTTAATTTCATTTGCATTTTAAAGTAGTGATTTTATATTATTTTACAATTTACCAGTCTTCCAGCTACAATACAACCAAACATTACGAATAAAAAGTTTCAATAAAAAAGAGGTCTTGACGAAATTCAATTTATGTTCCAAAAAGTAAAAAGCAATTTATCAATTAGAAAGTTGATAAAAGTCGGCTAATAATGTTCCTGTCGTGTAACGTACATTATGCAATAACCTCGTGATAATAATGACAAAATTGTTGGTTGCGTGTCACGAAGAAACACGATTTCTTTAAACGGAAAAATTACTGATTGTGAGAAAAAGTTCAATCAATGCTTACCATATCCATCATCGTTTAAAACAATTATTCATAATATATTTAAGTAGGGTTTTTATCCTTAAACAAAATTTATCGCATGTTCTTTTAAATTATAAAAAAAAAAAAATGATGACAATGAAGCTTCCTCGTCGTGTGTTGATGAATTCTGAGATTCGAAAGAGATGGTATACCCCGGTTGGAAGGTATTTTTTTTTTTCCAACATGTTCCAACATGTTCCACGAACGAAATTAAGGACCCGTCAATTGGTGTTATTAATATTGATAATCTCCCTTGTAGTCATGTTTACGATAATGATCCTGTGATACTTGATCGTGAAAAAAAGAGACTTCTCAATGGTAACTTGATATAAAGATAAAAAGAAATTGATTTTTTACGTCATGAAAAACTGATTAATTACTCCCTTAAAGGAAATGTCAAATCTCTACTAAAATCTGCACCAGGTTGGAATGAAATGTTGGCTTCAGATAGTGAAGCCGTGGTTAGTAATTTTGCTATTTAAAGATTTTATTCTTTTTCTTTTGCTTTATACCTTTTGAAACCTTTTATTTTTTTTAAAAAAAAAAAAAATAAGGTCAAAGCTGAACGAGAACCGGATTCATTTTCTTTAAAAGAACTTCAACAGGAATCATTAAAGATTTTATCAACTATAGATAATGTTAAAGATGATGTCGTCGTTGTTGAACAGATTAAGCAGGAATCTAAGGTTCAAAAAATCAAAAGAAGTTGTTAAGAATGCTGCGGCATGATTGCAATAACAGAATAACAGATAATCAGTGATTTGATTTCTTTGATCTCCAAAATAGGTGCTTTTTGTAACATTATGAAATTTTATAATTCGTCATTTGTTATATTTGTATAACATTTGATTTGTTTGTTTTAATTGACTTTTTATAATATTCATCGAAAGAAAAATTTTGTCCGACTTTAAAAAAAAAAATTTCGATCATATTGCATTTATTGATTAACGGACTATCATGCAACGAATCACTTTAACTTTAATTTCTCCAAACATGATCATTTCTGTATGTGTCTGTGACAGGGAGCGCGATTTATCAGATTTCCTTTTTTGGTGGTTCCATGATATTAAAAAGACATGGGACCTTTCCTTTTCCTGTAAAAACCTGTTGAACCTGACTCGGGTTGCCAAAATATCAATCAAATTTTATTTTTTATTGTTTATTGAAATAAGCAATTAATAAAATACGAAATTTCTTTCAAAGGGGCCAAATATTTATGAACGTGCATATACGTCGAACCTTTAAGATTGCTTTGAATATATGCAAGATAATGTCCAAAGATATTTACTAAATATTATGCATGTAATACATACATGTTTTGAAGCAAATAATCGTTACTCTTCTTATGTAAAGACAACTGGTATTGGTTTTCTGTACTTTCACTAATTTTCACCAAAAAATAAAAAAGAAAAAATGGATAACCGGAAAAAATCTTGCATTATTTATTTTCGTATTATGTGATGATAGAGAGAGGGAAGGAATACAAATTATAACAAATGTATGCGTTGTTAATTAATAAAGGCATGTTTTTTATTTTTAATTTTGCACAACATCAAAACCCGATGTACATCTATAAAATACAACCTTCCTTGGCGCATGTAAGATTTCGTGAATACGGGAATTTTAAATTGGACAGATTTTGTTTAGATTTTCTGGATGCAGTTGTAACAAAATTACATACTTGGAATACAAGGAGGAGGTCACAGTTCATATACTAATATAAAAAAAGGGAAATAAAGATGATAAATGAACATTTCCTATCTTGAATTTTTTTTTTTTTAATTTGTTGGCTAAAATAAAATCACTTCCACAAAGAAAAAAAAAAAAAATTAAACTTTGGAGGAAAAGGCAATTATCACACCAAATAACTGGTGTAACTATTTGCATAATTTGCATGCAAGTTAACTGGAAAAAATTCAAAACGCGAAAAAAAAAAAAAAAAAAACAAATGTAACCCAAAAGGAAGAGATAATTCATTCCTAATGGACATCATTAAAACGGGTTATCAGCCAAATTTATTATTTCTTTTTCCTATCAAAAAGTCCTGTACCTCACGGGTAACTAACGGGGTAACTAACAAATAACAAAATTAAATTCTTCACCATGATCGCATAATCGTCAAAAAGTTCGTCATAACCTCTCTGTTTTGAGCAAAGATTGACATTAACCAATTTACTCTCTTTCAGATTCTTTTAAAAAAAAAATAACTTTATTTAGACAAAATTAATTTAAGTGGAAATGATTGGTTGGTTCTGTTAAAGGAAACAGGCGCAGCACATGATGTCATTTTGATTAATGTTTTGAAAATATTTTGTTTTGATTTCATAAATTTATTTGGTGTACCCAAAACAGATTATTTTTCCCTCTCTCGCGTTTCTCTCTCACAATTTTGACTTGAGGTTCCGGTTACATGACCAGTTTTCCATTTCGTAGATTAGATATTTCGATTTTGTTATTAATAAATATTTCATCTCTAATAGGAAATTTGAGGTGCCTAAGCCTCATTGTTTGTCGATCGCAATCTGAAATTTTGGTTTGTTTGCAAAGCCTATTTCCATTACAGACCAATGATTTTTTTGATAAATACGTCACCGATTATTATTTACATTTTCTTTTTATGGAGAATGACAATAAGCCGAGCCACAAGTCCTTTGTCATGTTTCGAGAGTGTTATAGCGTTAAAAAAGAAAAAAGCGTCTAACCACAAATGAATGCCGAAAATATTAAAAAAAATTTCCAAATTTCTTCATGTTGTGTTCGAGTTTTACGGTAAACTTCAGTTTATGACATTTTTGTTTATCAAAAGAGGTTCCTGCAAGATGAAGTCATCACTTTGCAGATTATGACATCACACCTTATAAAAAAAAATTTTTTTTGTTTGGTACCATTAACACAGGGCTACTAAGATCATATTATGTAATATAGAATAGGGATTTTCGATATAAACTTTCGACAAAGGGTGGTATCCCTTTTTTCCAAATTTTTTTTTGAGGATTTCTTTGGATTCTCTTCCATCATTGGATTCCGTGCATCTTTTGCTTATCTACAATTCCAGGTATTGGGAAACACAAGGTAATAAAGTTAACATAACAGGAGACCAACCAAGTAGGTTGAAATTTTATCGGATGTCAATCGTTTCAAGTGAAATCTACGTTTCAAGGAAAAGAACGAGAAAGGTGACAATATGGAGGAATCACGTGTAGCATTTAATAAAAAGAAAGTGTTTATCGGATTTTAATTTTATATCTTACGTAATGTTGTGTTCTACAAGACTATCACTCATTGTCATAGTGTGACATAATATTAAAAAGGGATGTACATTTATTTATATTGATTGAAATTTTTTTTTTTTAAAAAAAAAAATATAAACAGCAAACAACTTAAATAACCTCCAAAATCACTTTCGCCAAGACCTTTTGCGGTTGCAATTATAATTCACATTCAATAAAAATCTAAGCTTTCTTTATATATATATATCCCACCCACTTTCCCTCCCATTGTGAGTTGTAACTTATCATGATCCATATTCCCTACTTTTTTGATAACAATAATAATATTACTGCTGTTAATCGTGTTATGGACGTATGTAAACTTTCATCTGATTTTTATTTATTTATTTTTTTTTTTTTTTTCTTTTTTTTTTTTAAAAAAAAAAATTTCCTTTGATACATGCATGTCTCATTCATTCATTAATCATTTAATTGCCTTTTTATCCTTTTCAACAAAAGTACCAACAATATCATGATGGAATACACTTTCCATCCACGACGTTCGCAATTAATAATCAGGTAAAATTTTTGATTCTGGTCGGAATGTTTCAGGATGTTTATTTTTTCTTGGCCAACGAAAGTTATTGGTGAAAAGAAAATGGTTTTTATGATGATCATTGGTGAACTGCTTATGTATCTAATTTACGAAATAAAAATTAAATCTATTTCTTATCTCTTTATTGAAAAAGACTCCAACATTTCCGAATAATATGGTAAAGTATATCCTTTTTCTAATCTAAACCTCAATGGGATTCTGATTATCTTATTGAAAATAAACAAAAATGTATAATAACATCATTTTAAAAATTCTTATCAATAGTTATACCAAGCCAATTCAGGATCCTTGGCTGGCTCTCAGCAGAATCATGTAGGACCGAATAATAACTTGCAAACTTACAATATGGTAATTATTTTTTTTTTTTTTTTTTTTGAACAATAAGAAAATTTCGTCTCAATTATCTTAAGAGAAGAATTAAAGGAAAAAAAAAAAAAATAATAATAAGTAAAAAGGAAAAATCACAAAATTAATACTGGATAATTTTTTTTTTTTAAAAAAAAAAAGATTGACCAGGCGACCGCTCAAAATGTCAGTCAAAGTAATCTACAGGTAAATTCTTCCACGTTCATACGTTTCCTTACATCATATGCTTAACAAATAAATTCCCTTCCGTTCTTTTTTTTTTTTTACCTATTCATTTTTACCTATTTATTTTTTCTGTTTTTTGAGCTTTTATAAAAATTGTAATTAACCTTGGTTAAAAAATTTCTCACGCCAATTTTCAGCCTCATAACGAAGAATACGCATTATATCATCGTCAATTAGCTCAGAACCATGCTATGGCACTCGCTCAGTTATTGATTCCTGGTGCAGAATATGACGAAGCAAAGGAATCAATTCCAAAGTTATCCTCACAGAATCAGTTGCAAATGTCCCATGACGATCGTCAAATTAATATAAATTATGCGATCGAACAGGTAAGGATTTTTTATTTATTAGTTTAATTTCATCTTATATGGTAAATTGTCATATATTAAAAATAATTTAATAAATTTAGAATTTTGTAACGTCTCAAAATATTGTATCATCCGCCCAATCCGGTGTTTCCAATTTGGTAAATCAAAAACCACCAGTTTACACAAAATGGACAGAACAGGAAGATGAGTTGTTGCGTGGTGCAGTGCGCATTTATGGTCCGCACAAATGGTCTCTTATCGCAACTCATGTGCCAAATCGAACGCCAATGCAATGTTCGGCTAGATGGGTAGGAGCGTTGAATCCTTCAATTCTTAAAGGTCGATGGACTTCTCAGGAGGATAACGCACTCAAAGAAGCTGTTAGTCATTATATCAATTCTGTCGATTCACAAGGAAATCCGCAACCGATCCCGTGGAATAAGGTCTCAAAGAGAATTCCACAACGCACTGGGGCTCAATGTCAGGCCCGTTGGACCGAAGCATTAGACCCTCGCATAAGGAAAGGTAAATGGTCACCCAATGAGGATGAAATTTTGAAAGACGGGGTTCGAATGTTTGGGCGCTGTTGGATTCGAATTGCCGAAATGATAAATGGAAGAACTCAGGTAACTAATAAAAAATTTTTATTTCTTGTACTTTTATTTCTGTACGTTGATTTATTCATTTCATTTATTCATTTTACGTGATTTTAAATTATTTTTCCTTTTTTTTTTTTTTTAAAAAAAAAAACTTAATAACATAATAATGACTGTGATAATAATATTGAAAATAATTGATAATGATAATAATAATAATAATAATAAATAAATAATAAAAATTTAGAGACAATGTCGTACACGGTGGTTACAAATAAGAAATAAACAATCGAGAATCAAAAATGAAAATGTTATTTCTGGAATTACTGCGGTTGCTGCTGTAACGAACGATGAAAGTAATAATATGTTAACACCACCTAACACCACTCCTTCAACACCAGCGCAAAGAATTAAAAGCGTAACATCGAACTCACCAGACATTATCCAAGGAGTAATCTTACGTTCTTCTCCACAAACGATGACCAACACTAGTCCCACATCGTATGGAACTTTAGAATCGCCAATTTCAAATCAGTCAGTGAGTAGTGGTCAAAGCCCAACCATTTCTGATCCCGCAACACCTATCTCGAGTCCCGAATTTTCAAATTACGTTGTCGATACGAACTCTTTCCAAAATTGCAACATGCATTTTAATAATTCGGCTTCCGAGAATCCACTTTTGTTTTATAA